ATATTTATTTAAAAAAAAGAAATTATATTTTAAAAAGTAAAAATATTTTTCTAGGTGAGCCTCCTTCATACAGAACCACCTGCATCTATGCCAAGAATGAACTCTCGTTATATGTTTCTGTTCGTTTCTGATAAGAAAAGAGGGGAAAAAGAAAAAAAAAATGCAGTAGAATTTCCCTTTCCTGTTAGATGCTTCCGAGTAAAGTTGTTGAGATATTTCGTGGTATTCGTTGTAATCATTAAAAGCTCGTTTAATAAGGTGGTATAACGGTTGTATAGGAATACCAGGCCACCCTTAAAGCCGACCTAAAGTGGCCCGATACGATAATAAGCCGCCATGTTTATTTACGTCATAGATGAATGATGGAAGTGTTGATACCCCGAACGGTCAACACTTGATGTTTATACACTATGGAGTCTGATATATACACTGTATGCGCGGGGTTGATTATAATTTCGATATACAAAAGCGGCACTTTGTTCCCTTGTCAAATTTAAGTGAGTTTAGAATAAATTGAAGGTGTAGAAATGCGTTATATGTCACTTAGGAAATTAATTTAACATTTTATCGATAGATTAAAATTTAAACTGATTAACAACTACGATGATTAAAATTTTTCAATTTTTGTATATGATATCCACATATAAACTTATGTAACTAAATCTTTAAACAAAATACTGTCTAATCTAAATTTTAAGAAAGAAATACACATGTTATTTTTATACACAGTCGAACCTGAATACTGCGCCCTCTTATACAGAGCCAACGAATACTCACATGCTGATCTTCCCCTTAAATATTAATTAATAATGCTTCGGCTTCTGTGAATTAGTTACTAAATGTAAAATTTGACATTGCAAACGGCATCGTTATCACTAAATTACGTGACTTTCAAACTCTCAAACTTCAAACTTGTGTGTAGACTTGTTCAAAATCTTGTTTTATACATTATAATTCTTATTGTTTGGAGATCCTTCTGTTTATTGTCAATTACAGAGGCGAACAAATAGTGATTTTATATAGAGGTTTGATTGTATATATCTATGAGAATAGTGCAAAGACAATTTTGGGTTTGGCAAAGACAATGTTAGTCCATAAATAAGAATTAAAGTTAAAAAATAAAAAATTTTTTCCCCTTTTATGTGCCCTCTCTAAAACACATGGGCCACGAGGCGACGCTCCGGTTCGGCTGCACCCCCTCTTTTAGAACTTGTATGTATATATATATATTGGTTTTTTTAATTAAATACAAATCAATACATTATCTTTATTGCCTAAATAATATAGAAAATATAAAGCTTGAAATGACATAATGCTATATTATTTAACTCTAGAATCAATTAGAAAATTAGAAATAAAATCGATTCGTGTATATTTTTGTTTATGCCAACACCCTATTGGTCAGGCAAGTTTGGATAAATAGCAGATTTTTATTACGTGAAATGGCACGGAAGTAGGAAAATCGAATAAGAGCATTCGTCATTAGATCGACTTCCGACAACATATATAATTTTTTTTTTCTTTTTACACTATAGAAAAAAATCAATTTTAAATTAATGTTTTTTTTTCATACCAAAAGCATATTTTCGCAACATTTTCGAATATATCTACAACCACACGTTATATTAAAAATAAATAAATAAATAAAGCAATAAATAAAAAAAAAAGTTTACAATAGATTCAGTTATGTACTCACTTGACACTTGCAAGTAAAGCAAGGATTATCAGAAATACTTTTAACTTTAACTTCTTCCCCTTCTTTTTCGCATTGCACATCTTGACCTAAAAAAATGACAATTTAATTTGAAATTAAATTAAATTACTAATGAACAGACACGGTGAAAGTAACTGAATATTATATTAATGAAAATTGTAATTAATATTTATGTTTAAACTAGTATTTTTCGTCGATAAATTGACTCAACTCTTCTCTGAGTCAGACTGTTATTGCCAATGACTCATCCACACACACACATAATATATATAGTATATATATATGTGTGTGTGTGTGTGTTTTTTTTCCTATTACTTAAGTATACACGATATTCGGTTTCTTGATAGGAATTGTTTTCTAGATTTAACCACAAGCAAAGTTTTCTATAGCAAAAGTTTCATCGAATTACATATTTTCGAGTATCATAAATGAAAAATAAACATTGTCAGATTAATTGCAATAAGAAAAATCTTAAACCATATCAAACAGTTACATCGTTTTTAAATGATCTTTTTATTGCCGCTCTGCAATGGCATTCCGTCTTCCTGTAGTAATTCGACCCCATTAAAAACGGGTAAAGAAATTAAACAAAAAATTATGCAGGTGGCCAGTGTCAAGGGTCAAAGGTCTGCTGTGTGTCATACATGTGGGAATAAGCAGTTTCAATTCGTAGAACAGAAATCTTTTTGAAAATTTTTTTTTTCTCATTATCCTCCTTCTTGAACGCCTAGCAACAAATTTTCGTGCAGATTATCATCGAGTAAATGAGTTTTTCCTACATTAAAAAACATTCGACACAATTTTAAACTAGATAACCAATCCACGAAGATTACGTTATCACGTAACATCCCAACTTAAAACGTCACGAAAATTCAAATTTAAAAAAAAAAAAATTACTACACACGAACTTTATAAAATTTAAATATAGTAATTTCTTTTACACTACATTTTGATACTACGAAATCCATTGCTTTCAATTACTTAAAAAAACAATAATTGTTACATTTAGTTTACGTGTTTTCTTTTCGATTAAAGATGCGTACAATCATATGTTCATCATCGTATATCAAGTTTAGAATATATTTTTAAATGAAAAATGAATTCGTATTGCGACAGGTCACATAGGTCATGAAAAAAAAACACCAGATGTCTTAAAATCATTGCCCCATAATGGGTCCAGAGTCTGATTACAAGTACGAAACAACTGATACATTGCAAACAACTCCTGCGCTCGCTTTACTTTTTTCATAATTCTTCTTCCCCTCTGTTTATTAAAGAATTCGAACCACGAGGAATACGTAAAAAAATTTTTATTAAATCTAAATAACTGTATACATGCCTATTGATGTGTTATACCAGTCGACCCCCTATAACACTGTTGATTTTTCCGTTTTATATGAATTCCATGTTGTACGAGTCACTTAGATTTTACAAATACGTGTGCTGGGCCGTAAACGGCTCACGTATTTGTAAAATTTAAGTGACTCGTACAACATGAAATTCATATAAAAGGGAAAAATCAACAGTGTTATAGGGGGGTCGACTGTAATTAAACGTTTTGCGATATCTTATGACGTCATTTATGAGTAATATATAGCCTATATTTTTCCTTTTTCAATTTAAAAAATAAAAGATACATCCATTTATTTACTAAATTTGTACTCAGAAAATGAAGATAAATCGTCAACAATATAAAAGAAAAAAAAAGTATTTTTATTTTCTCAATTTATAACACGACAATTTTTACGGAATTGAAAAATCGATATTAATTAATAATCACTTATTAAACCGTAAACGATTTAATATTTTAATTATTTAACGGTGTATAATTATCCGATAAATGGAACGAATTGTATTATCTGCGCGTGTATCTTGTAGTACGACACGTGTCACAAATTCAATGGAGGTTATCGGCGACATTATTTACTCTTAGGATACAGAAAGGTCAGGACAGAATGACTGGGTGAAAGATGAAGTAAGGGGGGAAAAAATCTTAAACAATAAGCAGCCAATTGATTTAGCTTAATTTAGTAACCGGTTATTCTTATCTAGACCAACATACTTTTTATCAATGAATAATATGAATATCATTTATGCTGCCTAAAAATATTACTGTCGGTTTAATTCAATAAAATCAATATAAAAAAAAAACACAATTATATTTTTTGAAATTATCATACATTGTACTGTATTATATACAGTACAATGTATTAACAAAACAAAATAGGATTTTTAATGTTAATTTTTATTTAAACCTATATAAAACGAGAATATTTTTATAACCTTACTCCATAGCTGATGTAATTTGATTGGCTCGGACAAAGAGATAGGAAAAAAAAGTATGAAATAATAAAAAAAAAATAAATAAATAAAATAAGAAACTAAATAGTGAAACGATAAAAGTCACGTTTGCCATTTGTGGCATGTAACCCTCGGGGTTTCCGAGATTCTCTACCAGAGGGCATTGTCAAGGTCGGTTTAAGTCGGATCGGAATAAAAATCGATTTTTTTTTCCCCCTTCTTATAGACTAAATTAGAATCGTTATAATCAAATTTTAATACGTAATTTTAGTCTAATTAAATACACGTAATATTTTTTTTAATTATAAAAAATCGAGAAAAATATTTGATAAAATTTAAAATTTTAAATACGTAAATAAAAAATCTTATCGAAAGATGGCGCTAATTTTAAAAAAAAATTTTTTTATTTGAGAAATATTTATTTTTAAACGGATATTTTAAAGTTTTAATGAGTTATATATCGATGCCAATAAATTATTTTAATTAAAATTTATTTTTTTGAAATTTTTTGAAGAACTTAGTAGCATTCTTTTCTACATAAATTATTACCTAATATAGAAATAAATTAGAAAATTATTATTTGTTATTCCATTTTATCGCTCGACATTGTCCACATAAGGAATCTCCAAGAATGCGAATGTAGGCGGACTAATCGACTCTTGTCGGAGTCCGTCACATACTTCAAATTGGATGATCGAACTCGACATAATTGAATGCCATTAAAATATCTAAAATATGCTTATTCCAAATTAAGGTCTCTCGATTTACAATACTTTTCCTTAAAATTCTTAATAAAAATAGAAAAAAAAAAACTACCTTAAAAGTTCGACTTCCTGAAAATATTTTGCCACTCTAGTGGACCTTTGTAATCTATTCTACGAATTCTATCCATTAGCTGTAGGAGCGAGTACCGACTAACGAGCCTTGGTGGGAATTTTCTCCAACTAAACCCTAATATTAATGTACCAAAAATAGCGTAGTGGGCCTTTTACGGAAGAAACTTATTATATGTCACAACTCTAGACACATCCGAAACGTTCTTTTGGTTAAGATCCAGTTTGAACATCGAGCTGGATTTGAATCAAAAGCATTTCTTGTAAACCGAATATACTCTTACAAAAATTTTTAACGGGTGATATCAATACTTTAACATTTATAGCGATGAACTTTTTATTCGTAAATACTACGGGAGAACGTAGGAAAACGTTTAAACACTAGCGTATGGCATTTCGCTTCACAAGTAATAAGTCGATCTTCTAGAGAATATTAAAAAAACCAAATTATAATACCGAAAAACGTTCGGCCAATTAGTTTTAAATGTTTTTAACATTGTTAATTAAGTCCCAAGAATCGAAGATGGAATTATATGTAACAATTATTTCGTGTTTAGTCACCGAATGGAGCAATCTTTCTATGACTCAATGTACTATAAAGAGATATATGACAGTCAAACGTCTCTTAAATACACAATATTGCTGATATTAAGTAAATTATATATATATATATTTATAATACTTTTAAATACGTGAAATTCCTGGTTAGAAAATATTTGCAAATGATGACGGAAGATAAACTGAAACCGAATATAACACGTCACAAAGTTACTATCATTAGAAGAATCACGTAATGGCACGTGTTGTGAGGTAATCGTTTAATTAACCAATTAACAATTCTCTCTCTCTCTCTCTCTCTCGGCGATAATACCGAATGATTATTTTTAATTATTTATAAACAACTCGCTAACGAATTCAATTTTAAATTGAATAAAGTATAATAAGCGACTGTTGTTTTTTTTTTCTCGTAATTTATATACCGCACACAAAAAAGGAATAGTAAGCATTCTGAACTGACGTAACAAGGTCTTTCGTCGATATTAAATCGTTAATTTTGATTGGATATTTGGCAATATATTTTTAAAAAATATATATGATAGTGACCTTGAATGAAGCGGGATTTTCGTAGAAGGTCGAATTGTTTTATATATATATATATATAACTTTTGTTATAATTATATTATTATTTTTATTTCAGACGAAATAAATTCTAAACTGAATTATTTACCGATTGATAACGTAAACAAAAATGGTTGACATTTTGGAGATAATGAAGAATTTTTACTTAAAAAATTATATTTTTGCGCTCTTTTGTTCTTCCTTAAATAAAACTTATGAAAGAAACAGAGAGAAAAAAAAAATAATTAAAATTAAAATATAATTTTCTAATAAGTTAAAAGAATATTTAGTAAAATTTGTATAATATTCATTTTATTTATAGGCTACTATTTTTACCATAAATATTTACTTATAATTAGCTAGGAGTAGAGTAAAAATTGAAATAGTAAGGTTTTAAGCAGCCGTTGTAAGATAAAAATAATAATGAAGAAAAAGAGTGAAAGCTGAATTCGAAGAACTGAGAACAATCACCTGGACAGGTAAGTGCACAAACAAAAGGATGATCTACTGGAAGCTAAACTCAATGAGCTAACAATTGTTTAAGTAGAAATAAAGTTAAAAATCCATTTACTTACCTATAATTAAAGTCGAATGACCGTCTAACAGTCTAAAGAATAATAATAAAAAGAATATATTATAATAACACGCGTTGACAATTATATCCATCACTATTAACGATAAACGACTCAGTCGGGGGATGTTTCCTTTCAATGTCTTCGGCTCTACTGAGCCTGACAGAAAACTCGGGCCTTGTTTAATCACTTTCTACGTAGCAACAGTTGCTAAGGCGACAAGTCGCCACTCTGCGGTCAGTTTGAGGAATGGAACAAAAATAATAGCATCGGTTTAGGGTTTAGTGGGTGGTTGGTGACTCGCCCTAACTTATTGCCAGAAAATAAACTCTATTTAACGTTAATCGGCAATAAATTTTATCAATATTCTTCAATACACTATAAATTTTATAATTGTTTCTTATCAACGTTTATCCAACGTTTTATCTCCATTATATTAATAAATATTTTGTCATTAAGCTATTGTTTATGTAATTCATCCCGGAATTTTCTAACAATTAATGATTCCAATTTTTTTTTTTTTTTATATATATATAAATATAAAATATAAATTTTATATACAGTACAATGTATTAACAAAACAAAATAGGATTTTTAATGTTAATTTTTATTTAAACCTATATAAAACGAGAATATTTTTATAACCTTACTCCATAGCTGATGTAATTTGATTGGCTCGGACAAAGAGATAGGAAAAAAAGTATGAAATAATAAAAAAAAAATAAATAAATAAAATAAGAAACTAAATAGTGAAACGATAAAAGTCACGTTTGCCATTTGTGGCATGTAACCCTCGGGGTTTCCGAGATTCTCTACCAGAGGGCATTGTCAAGGTCGGTTTAAGTCGGATCGGAATAAAAATCGATTTTTTTTTCCCCCTTCTTATAGACTAAATTAGAATCGTTATAATCAAATTTTAATACGTAATTTTAGTCTAATTAAATACACGTAATATTTTTTTTAATTATAAAAAATCGAGAAAAATATTTGATAAAATTTAAAATTTTAAATACGTAAATAAAAAATCTTATCGAAAGATGGCGCTAATTTTAAAAAAAAAATTTTTTTATTTGAGAAATATTTATTTTTAAACGGATATTTTAAAGTTTTAATGAGTTATATATCGATGCCAATAAATTATTTTAATTAAAATTTATTTTTTTGAAATTTTTTGAAGAACTTAGTAGCATTCTTTTCTACATAAATTATTACCTAATATAGAAATAAATTAGAAAATTATTATTTGTTATTCCATTTTATCGCTCGACATTGTCCACATAAGGAATCTCCAAGAATGCGAATGTAGGCGGACTAATCGACTCTTGTCGGAGTCCGTCACATACTTCAAATTGGATGATCGAACTCGACATAATTGAATGCCATTAAAATATCTAAAATATGCTTATTCCAAATTAAGGTCTCTCGATTTACAATACTTTTCCTTAAAATTCTTAATAAAAATAGAAAAAAAAAAACTACCTTAAAAGTTCGACTTCCTGAAAATATTTTGCCACTCTAGTGGACCTTTGTAATCTATTCTACCAATTCTATCCATTAGCTGTAGGAGCGAGTACCGACTAACGAGCCTTGGTGGGAATTTTCTCCAACTAAACCCTAATATTAATGTACCAAAAATAGCGTAGTGGGCCTTTTACGGAAGAAACTTATTATATGTCACAACTCTAGACACATCCGAAACGTTCTTTTGGTTAAGATCCAGTTTGAACATCGAGCTGGATTTGAATCAAAAGCATTTCTTGTAAACCGAATATACTCTTACAAAAATTTTTAACGGGTGATATCAATACTTTAACATTTATAGCGATGAACTTTTTATTCGTAAATACTACGGGAGAACGTAGGAAAACGTTTAAACACTAGCGTATGGCATTTCGCTTCACAAGTAATAAGTCGATCTTCTAGAGAATATTAAAAAAACCAAATTATAATACCGAAAAACGTTCGGCCAATTAGTTTTAAATGTTTTTAACATTGTTAATTAAGTCCCAAGAATCGAAGATGGAATTATATGTAACAATTATTTCGTGTTTAGTCACCGAATGGAGCAATCTTTCTATGACTCAATGTACTATAAAGAGATATATGACAGTCAAACGTCTCTTAAATACACAATATTGCTGATATTAAGTAAATTATATATATATATATTTATAATACTTTTAAATACGTGAAATTCCTGGTTAGAAAATATTTGCAAATGATGACGGAAGATAAACTGAAACCGAATATAACACGTCACAAAGTTACTATCATTAGAAGAATCACGTAATGGCACGTGTTGTGAGGTAATCGTTTAATTAACCAANTGGTGCAATGTACTATTACTCTGTATTCTACTTTCTACTACTACAAATAATAGTCTGTCTAGACGGAAAAGCCAATATTGTAAACCTATTATTGTGATAAAAAGGGTTAAGATTGAATATTGCAAGTTCTGTTGACAATCTTTCTACAAATTGTTTTTATTTCTCAGCTCTTGCATTCTGAAATCAGCCTTTCCTTTCCATCAAGTCAGCGCCTCATTTGTAATGTAAAATTAACAAGTACAAAAGTGAATAAATAGTAATACAGAGAAACAAAGAAATTAAAAGAGATATCCAATAAAGAGAAGCAAAACAATCCAACAATTTGTAAAAAAAAAAAAAAAAACATCTTTGTAGACACTAAAATTATTTCGAAAATAAGTAAATAAACTTTATAATCTTTAATGTAATTATGTCGAAGCAGTTTATAGCAAATTGGGAATATTTTATATGATTAAAAGAAGGATTTCAGTAATCAATAAGTGTTATTACAGCATATAATTGCTTTAAATTAAATTACTTACAAATATAAATAGAAACATTTAACATTGAACAAATTAGAAATATAAATTATTATTATTATTATTACCCTTTAAACTTACTAAAACTATCGTCACCACCTGTTCAAATTTAAAACAATGCGTATGAAATTTTTATTCTTACGAAACACTAAGTTCTCGTTGAGACAGTACAGTAGGGCCTATATAAAACAAGAATTTGTGGTATTTATTACACTAAAACATGCGTGATTATTTAATAAATAAAGAATATAATGTGTATTTTAATAAGCTTAGTTAATTAAAAGATATTTGATTATTAATATAAAAAAATAATATAATATATAATATATATATATATATAATGCAATTTACTTTAAAAATTTTTAATATTTTCTATTAGTTTATGAAGTAAACTCGCTGAATGACATTACTTATACATGCAGCGTACATCATTTCTTTAAAAGTGTTTACGGTTTTAAATTTCTGAATTTTCGTAATGGAATTTCTTTGTTTAATTCAGTTATGAAGTGTTTTCTTACCACATATAAAAATTCTTTTAATTATTTTGTTTACATCACACACAGTAAATTTTATTAGGGAATGTAAATGTTAATTAAATCATCCAAAAGAAGTAAATATAAATTATTCAAAAGAATTAAAAATTCGATGATCTTTGTTGATTTATTCTAGAAAAATTTTCTATTTTTATTATTTTATATTTATCAATTTATCAAATATCCACATTAATTTTTTTTATTAATGTATTAAAACACATAGAGATTAATAAAATTTAACAGCAAAACATAATAACTTAAACAAGTTTTTGTGTAAAAAAAAATAATAAAAATAAAAATTAATTGATATTAAAAACATAACGAAATTAATATTCATTGTTTATACTAGTTAAACACCTTCGAAATAAACGAATACACTGTCCGTGACGTCATACTATCCGTCTAGTTATACGTCAGTAACTATTGTTTACGTCAGTTTTGTATGCAATACGTAACGGATAAACAACGTCTGGCGTCAGTGATAGAGAGAGACAAATAACAAAGTATGATTTATTATAGCATACTCGACAAAAGAAATTGGCCACTCAAAAAACTGTTTAAAAAAAAAAGAAGGGGGGAGGAAAAAAAATTAAAGTTATGCCATTAGTTGGTTTCACTTTATTATCACAGAGAGAACTTAATCAGCGATTGTTTTTCTATTCTAAAATTGACAACGCCCCGATGCCGCGAGGGAAGGTGGGAATAACATTTCTGCCTCTTTGACCCCCAAACCTCTGCATAAAGCAATTTTTATATTCTGTAAAATCAATTCTTCGCACACTAAAAACGTAATCTTCTAATTTAGGTTAGAACAAAATTGTGTTTGAAATAATACTAAAATCAATCTTCATTCTCTTTCAAACTTTCATTCATTTTTTTTTTTCTTTTAAAGGTTTCCATTGTTTCTAGGATAATCACACCGAATATAAATCCAACATCTTTGATTCTTAATCGTATTCATTCTCGTGAAGATTTTCTCATTCTCATTCTATTTAATAATAAGAAAGGTCATAAATTATTATCTCGTGGGATGTATAATTTTTGAATACAAGAATTACAATTTCTAAAAGGTTAAAACGATTTCCCACATTTCTCACATCGTTCTTAACATTTTAAAATTGACCTATTAAAAGCTTGATTCGTGTAAAATATCCTACATAAATTTTTTATTACAATATTATAGAGTCTTTCTTCAAAAAACAATATATATGAAAAGACTATATCATCGCTATAAATCGTTAATACTTCCTAATAAAAATCTATGCCATTTATATTAAAGTAAACTTCTCGAATTCTATTTAAAATAGTTTTACAAATTAAATTTAATGTGTGTGTAAGTTGAATATAAGCTAGACTAGACCTATATTTTAATAGCACTTTCGTGTATTTGATAAAGTTAATTAAATAAATAAATATATATATATATTTTTTTGAAAATTTCTACTATTTAAATACATTTTAGATATTGTTATTTATATACGATAAACCCAATTTTTTATATTGTTTTACATTTAATATATTAAAAAAAAAACGCTTTTTTACAGCTCGTTATTAATTTTTTTTAAAGCTAAATATATAAATATAAGCGCGAATAATATTATTTTTCATTGTTTCCACTTCTATTTACGCGTAATTATTAATGAGGATGAGATTTTAAAGCGATTCTTATTGATAAAAATCATCAAGAGACGATAAATAAATGTAATTTTAATTTTATATTCGATAACCTTTAGGCTATTATTTTCTGTGTCAAATACAAATTTTTTGGTCCCCCTTTTATTTTTTTTCCTTTCCCCCTTCTTCTTCTTTATTTCCGAG